GGAAAGACTGACCGCACTAACAACATATTAAAATCTAAATATTCGACATATATGATTATCTCATTGTCTGCTTCTCTGATTCAAAAGAAAAACTGACCATAGTTAGAAAATATTCAAATCTGAATATTCGACATATAAGATTATCTGATTGTCTGCTTCTCTGCTTCTCTGCTATATAGGGAAGACAGACCATACTTAGACAATATTCAAAGCCGAATATTCAGCATAAATGATTATCTGATTGTCTGCCTAACTACTTTGTAAGGAAGGCAGACCATACTTAGAGAATTTTCAAATCTGAATATTCGACACATAAGATTACTTGATTGTCTGCTTTTCTGCTTTATAAGGAAGGCACACTATGCTTGTAGAATATTGGGATATCATTACAGAAAGTGTTTTAGTTTCGTAAGGAATCGGAATATGTAACATATTTAGATTTGACATGACCTCCTAGCACCATCATAAAAAGAGATTAATTGACCATTAAAATCGAATTTATCAATTTGCTTGCAAATAGCATTTCGTCTATGTGAATTACCTCGTTTGCATGTACAAAATTCTGAAGTGATTTTTTTATCTATTTCAATTGATTGTTTTTTATCCTCATGTTCGGATCTACTATAATCATTTTTATTTACTAAAGTTTGCGATAAAACTAATTTGACACCTTTCATTAATTCAAACCAATCTAAGTCGATATCAATGGTGTTCTCGTCTTCCAGTTCACCATACGAATTGTAATGTAATACATGTTTATCAAATTTATAACACAGATGATGAATAGTGGATGTCGATGTTGATTGTATTTCTTTCAAATTTTCTGCAACTTTTTGAGTATTAATATCACCGGCGCTGACAGCACGCTTATTTGTTGTACCAACAGGAGCTTTATTTTCATTATTCACATACTTACCGCTTTGCTGTCTGTTTAATATCTGTTTACAATGTCGCGACTCATGATCAATCTTGTTGGTTTTTACATGTTTTTTCACTTCTATTTCAGAAAAGTTATTAACATCGAAAATTGGTATTAGACAAAGAAAAATGGTTGGCTATTGAAAAAGATATCGTCAATTTACAATTAGTTTTTAATGATCATTTATTTGGTAGCGCAGCTAGATTGATGATAATGAAATGGACTGCTGACAAAGATCTTGATACATTTAGAAAATATTTTGAAGACCAGTAGTTATTATCATTACCATTTTGGTATGAAGGGTGCACAGGTATGGAAAAGAAGGTGTCGCATGTTCGCTTGTAACCTATTCTTTTATCTTTTTTCATTTAGACCAAAAGAGATATTTGAGCTCGGTGTACTTACTTGGCCTTAAAATGATAGAGGTTACATCCTCGAAAAGGTAATATACGTGCGTCGCATTTATTCAGTCTGTATAACTTAAATCATGTAAGATAGATGTACTTTTTTAATCACATATGCAGGACCGAAGGAAGTGATGGAGCTTATTTTAATCCTAGTAAAACTCTTTATTTGCATTTCTTACCAAGATCTTGAACTTCACTTGAACAAATTTATCAGACGCTAAACAGGAATAATCTCAAATCTCGTACAGACCATGAGTATATCAGAGCAGAACCACTTTTCTCACTTTCTGTGCTTTCTTACATTTTTTATGTTTGTTTTAACAAAAAACGTGAAGCTCAGGATACTCACAATAGCGATGCCATATCAACCTGTTGAGGCATTCTCTCACTTCGGTGCATTTTTATTCCGAGCTCTCTGGGAAGTTAACATGTTTAATTGAGCGCAAGCAAGTAAAGAGTCCTTAGATTTAGCTTTTTTTTATTACAAAAAGACCCCTTTTTAATATTCAAAATGGTTGAAGGAAAAATTTTAAACTTTACGAAATAAAAAACGCAATTTTTCTCTACTCTATCTCACTGGAACTGCTGTGTACTTACTCTGTAAATTCCTGTTTTTGTTTGAGCTGTAATTCTGCTTTTAAGTTGGAGAAAGCAAATATAAACTGCAAAAAGTGTAGACAGCACATGAGACAAAAGCCTTCTAGACTTTTTCTATTCTCAATAGACTCTACGTAATCAAGGTTAACCAAAAATTTGTACAGAATGTCATCTTATTTGCAGGCTGATATACTGTAACAGAATGAAGACGATTACCTATGGATTGCCGACCGACTTTTAAAGCACCTTCATATCCCTCCAGGTTGGATACTGTGAAGCGAAAGTCATTTGTAAGAGGATTATACGAATACATAATTTGTTGTTTGTCGAATTACTATTGTTATTATTTCTTTGTCATAAGAACGTATACGGCAATGAATGTGTTAATATGGGTATAAAGGCATATGAAACAACTTTGAGTTACGACAGTGATTCTTTTCTTTGCTTATTAAAATATAAATGAAAAGTGAAAAAACAGATTTTATTTCTTTTTTCTTTCCGCTCGCTCTACTGAAAAACAGCAAATATTAATTGCATACTGTGAGCATGAAGTGCACTTCAGTTAAAAAATGAAAGAAAGCAGTAAGGTAACGAAAATGAAATTTTTTTTTTTATTAGATGTTTTATGAAATTTGCTCAGCATTGAGTAAAAACAACAGGTACCAAACAAAAGAAATGTGAGTTTAAACAAATACTTTCTTATGAAATATTAGACTTCAAGCCCTTTTTTACCTTGTCTTGTAGTTATCAAACAGAGGTTAAGCTTTTAGTATATCTGATTCTTCAAAAATGAGCCAAGATGAATTTAAATAAACTTTGTCGCTCACACTTCTCTATCAATGTTCCATCCGATCAAGATGATTCCTTCATACTTTATGTTGAGTATATTGTTTAGATGTGCCTTTTCTGCAGACGAAAATTTAACTGATCTGTATTTGTTGAGCTATTTTGGCAATAGGATATATGTTTCGAAATCCTTTTATCTTATAACTCATTGGCTCACAGTAGATAATTAAAATAGATATAATGACAGAGGTTTAAGTATCAAATCATAACAAACTTGATTTATTTCGAAATATTGCTTCATTCTTCGTCCTATCATTGTCGGTACCTAATACATTAATTACTTTAAAGTTTTCTTGTTCAATCTATATATTTCTTAAAAATACTACTGCTTATTAGATTCCTACCCAATACAGTTTGATCAGTTAAACTCAAACTGAAGTACTACATGAAATCATGAGACAGGGATCGATCTATCAAGATCTTGTTTTACAAGATCTTAATGGAGAGGCAAAAGCTCAGTTAACGAAAAAACAGATTGAGTCCAAATGTTTGTATAATATTCTTTGTGATTGATGACGACATGACAGTAATGTTTTAAAATCGGTAACTCAATCGTATTCAAATCTGCCGAAAACATTTTACAATAAATTTGGAGGCTGTTAGGTCTTCTAGAAAATCGGGCTTTTCCTAAACAGTATTCTCAAGACCCGTTTTGCGCACATAGCTTTTCTACTCGAAATATATAGTTCAGTGTGTCCTTTGATTTGGGACTAAACTATATGTACATTATAAAATGTACCCAAGAGGCAATTGGCAAGTGTGACCAAATTCTCTGTAAGTCGCAAAAAAGAATTATTCTCATGGTAGAATAAAGTAACTCTTAGTTTCTTTTCCCAAAGCTAGAGATATCAATAAAACTCATCGAGCTTTATAAAGTGAGGCAGATCCCACCGTTCTTATTGAATATCAATGTATAGGTAGTCTACAAGAATATGTGTGTTTTCACCTTGCGAATCAAAATTCTAATGTCGAAAATTTGAAAAAACTGAAAATTTTAGAATTTTAGAAAACAGCTTAATTTTTAAAAACGAACGTAAAACTCGAACACAATGTGTTTGGGAACCTTGAAAGCTTTCTATTCTTGTTTTCCGTAAAAAGCTGAATATGAAAAATAGTGTTTCGATACTATTCAAGTATGATATGTTCTAAAAGATTTTAGTTTTTCACCAATAGCCAAAATCCCGTTCATGCTGACGCAAAGAGCTTCAAGTCTCTCTATACTCAAATGATGGTTGCAGCTCATGGATAACAAGTAATAGAGAGATACTAATTTGAGACGAAATGAGGGAACACCGTATTTAGAGAGCGCGCAGTATATACAACAGAATTGGAGAAAGAATTTTTTGCTCATTAGCCAAACGTTTATTTAAATGTATCAGTGCTTGCTCTAGATTTCCCTGCTTTTTTTATGCAGTACTAATATTATCATAAGTGACTACGTATAACGCAGAGTCTTCTAGTAAATATGTTAAAGCTCTTTCATAGTGCCTAAGGACCTGTTCATTATTTCCTCCTTCATGGTGCTCATTGAAAATAAAATCTTTTCATTTTGAAATAGGTCATGTTTTCAATGGCATGAAATGGTACTGTAAAGAGTAAAGTTGACTTTTGTGTTCCTTTTGCCGTTCTTTTAGTAACAACAGGGCGAGAAAATTCATTTAGAACAACTACAGAATAACGAAACATACAAGTAAAGAGCGAACATTGTCATGGATGTTGCAACAAAAGAACTGTGCGCTACATGTGGTCAGTCAGCTGAATATTTTGGTTGTTCTGGTTGTAACCAGAGCTTCTGCAATAATCATATCGGCAGTCATCGCCAAGAACTGGCAAAAGAGCTGAATCACGTCGAATGTAAATATGATATGCTATTGCAGGAAATAAGAGAACCGTACGTTGAGCAACATTCACTCATAAGTAAAATTAACAATTGGGAGCAACATTCAATTTGTTTCATTCAACAAGCAGCCGAAACAGCTCGTCGAGAATTACAAGATCTACTTCAGAAGAATAAAGATGAAGTTATTACAGAAGTTCACAAATTAACACAAAAGCTGCGTTTAGCACGTGAAATAGACGATTACTCGGAAATTGATTTACAGAAATGGACCGATCAATTAAATCAACTTAAGCATCAGTTAACATCACCGTTGCATATTATCATTGCTACGCCATCGATAAACGAGATCAGTGTCACATCACTACAAAAAGGTACTTTAGTAGTCTTCATTTTAACAAAGGATGAAATTACATGTTAGTAAATACAAATAGGAAAAACAAAAATTCAAGAATTTGACTGAAAAAGAAGGAAGAGAATCGTGAGATTTCTTTTACCCGTGAGTTTTAGCAAGATAGAATGTCACGTGGTGAAAACAGATTTCTATCTTTGCTCATTCCTCGTACTTAACGCTTTTGAGGATTGGACTATCTTTGAATAACTTCTAGTCTAGAATTACTGACCTCATGGATAATTTCGGGTTGTTGCAACCTCAAAATTAGTAGGTATAGGGTACCTACTCCTACTTATCCATACCTACACATGGCTATATGTACAACAGGACCAACACAACAATAATTATGGAGAGGACAAGCAGTATAATATTCTTTATCACACGAAATCAAATGTTGTTTGGTAACTCACTCTCATGCTACAACCGCCCCATTCCCCAATCCTGAATGTCCATGTAGATCGAACACCACTTAGTAGTGTTGCTGCAACGTCAAGACATGAGTAAGTACGCGTAGGTGCGCGTAGGTATGAGTAGGTATGACCATACCTACCCATATCTACGTATGTATGGGCACGCACAGGTATGCATGGGTAGGTCGGGTGCAAATATACGTATGAGTATGGGTAGGTGGTATTTCAATTTTGGGTTGTAGCAGCGTTATAATTTTGAGGTTGCGGCAATCCCAAAGTATCCATCCTGTGGAATTACTTGAGATTGATTTTTCCGCTTTGATCGATCCTAATCGATGAGTGGGCCGTATCTTCATCTACTAGGATAAATAGACAATGATTCTAATATTGAGAGAATCCAAAATCTCCCAAGGAATGACTAATGAAGAGTTTTATCCTACCTTAGAGTATTGTTTCCGGCATCATATGAGATTGATCCCCATCAGCACTAGTTAAAAAAATTGCATAGCTTCGATTTCTGACGGCACTTCAGGATAAGATCAAGTTCTGATTTGAGCGGCCTTTTGCCTTTTCCTCGATTGTGATTGACTGTCTCATTGAACCAGTTTGATTTATAATACTTCAGAATTTAGAATCATTTTCATCATGATAATAGAAGATGACTACTATCCATTGCAAAAAGAAGATGGATGATTGCGAGTCGAATAACTCGAGAACGCAAATAGCTAGCGACCTGCGGTTTTCACCATTAGAAAGAGGACAAAGAAGTCATTTAAGTATGCAGATTAATTAGGGTAGTTTCATTTTGAATAAAAATATCTGTCAAAAATGCAAAGCCAGTTTTCTATCTATAATCCAACTTATACTCAGAGTTTTCATTTAGTTTTAGAGATACGAGAACAACTGTGCTTTGATTCAGATGATATTCAAAAATCACAGAAATGACTCTTATACCGTTCTTTCTTGGTTTTTCTAAACGCTTTTGACAAGTTCAGCTCCCTCATTTTGTTTCACCTAGATCAGAAGTTCTTTAGATGGGAGCAGAGATATGGAGCGGTTGTGATCACTTATCAGGGGATAGGAAAAATTATTTTTGTGGTAGTCCACACTCAGAGCTAGTCAATACACTTCGAAAAAAACCTGCCAGAAAATACTAAAGGCGATATGCTGATTAATTCTATTTCTTCAAAATTTAACTGAAATGAGGTTAAAGAATTGGTATTATACGCCCTTCGCTTTTCTTCGATTCAGAAGATGATTTAATTGAAAAACGACAAGCTATTACGCTACGTTCTCTGATTTGTGAACAAATTAGGGCTTTTGTAATTTGAGTCGAAAACTAGACGTCAGAAAAGACAGTTTTGTTCAAAATAGCACAAAACAGGCACAAAGTTTTCGAAAAACAAGAGAATCCCACTCAAGATCGCACTATTCCAGTCTTCGAAAAACTGAATGCTGCACCGTCGGACTCAATCTTAAGCTATTGGATTGCATAAAGTTGTTATAAACAGAGAAGACGATGTGCTGGTTGACTTGCAGTTGATATTTCCAGTTACATATT